GAGCAGTTGAGGGGCGGAGGCGGAGCTGCCTGCAGGCAATGCACGAGGCGCGGTGGTGGTGGTGTCCCGGGGTACCTGCATCCGGATGGGGGCTGATGCCCATTTTCCTTCGGGAGGCTGCGATGAGATAGGAGATGGGAAGAGCTTCCAGCCCCCGGGTCGGGTGGAAAGGGACTGGAGGCTGTGGGACCGGAGTGAGAGTGGGGGGGCCCCTGCCCACTTTTTTACCCCCACCCCCGCCACACCGCAGGTCATAAACGACTCGGAAAGCCAGGAGGGGATGATCCACCCCTAATTTGGGAGGAGTACGTGAGCTGGGAGGACTTTGCAAGTAATAGGGTGGTGGGCAAAACGTAATCAAGGTAGCTTCGAGGGGCCCAGGAGAAGTAGGGAGTGGCTCGAATCTGTGTGAGGTTCTCACTGTGTGCGCCGTGAGCCGCGGGGCCGGGCTCTCTGCCTGGACCACAGCGAACCAGCCGGCCCGGCTCTGCTTCGGCTTCTTGTAGTCCGCGGGGCGCACCTCTTCGCCCGGGACTCGTGGCGGGGGGCGGGGGGAAGGGTCTCTTTCCAGGCTTGCGGCGGCCGGGTGCGCGGTGACCAGCAGGGGGCGCTCACGTCACGGGAAGCCGGGCGACCGCGCAGCCCGACTCTGACCCGGGGTTTCGGGCTGACCGAGAGCCGGGACCCGGAGCCGCCTGCCGCCTGGGATAGCGGCGACTCTTAGGGCTGGGCTGGAGCGGGAGCAACTGGTCGCTGGAGAGGGGGGGCGACCTCCCAGCCGGAGACAAACAGGCAATTAATTCCGGAGCTAAGTTCCCATCTGCCAGGCCGGCTGACAACAGGTCCCGCACATACCCCTAGGGCCAGCCGCGCCACCTCCTCCTGCTTCCCCGGCGCACGGCGCGCACACCCACCTTCATGCACACGCGCGCCCGCAAAGACACGCATGCCTCTCGCAGACACGCCTATACACAGAGACGCTGCCACGGGTACTGCACGCTCCGAAGCGCAGACCGCGGTGTCACTCATCCACGCGCGACAGTTAGACCCAAAGCGTCGCCGGCGACACGCGGAGCGCACTGGATTTGCAGGAAAAAGCGACTGGGAGTCTGGGAGTCTGGGAGCCGGGGTTCAGCCCCTTCCTTGTCCCACCTCGTTGTGTGACGTTGGACAAGATCTTCCCCCCTGCGGCCTCAGTTTTCTGACCTGTGAAGTGAGGAGTGGGTTGGTGCCTCGCAGGAGGCTCGCAGACCTCAGTATTCGGGCAGACAAGCAGGAAGGCGCATGCGCGCGCGTGTACCGCGCTCTCTCACCTCGGCCCCCACCGCCTCTTCCTCCTGCTGGGACTTGCCTAACAAGTTGGGGTCCTTGGAGTGGGAGGGGCCGCGCAGCGGTACAGGATCCCTTCCCCCACGCCCTGCCGAGTTCAGAGGGCTTGGGCGGGGCGGGACCGTCCTCCCGAACGCGCTCGCCGCCGCTACCACGCGCACTCTAGCCCTCGCCCGCCAGCGCCGCCAACTTTAGAGCGACCAGCGGCTGCCCGCCGGGCCCGAGCAGGCTATGGGGGCACCCCCGGGCCGGATCACGTAGTCACGGCGCCGCCGGACAGCCCGCGCGGCCCCGAAGCGCCCGTCCGACCCTCCCTGCGTTCTGGCCATGGGCGACCGCGGCGCCCCCCTGTGCACGGCGCAACCCGCGGTACGCGCGGCCGGGCCCCGGGAGGGGGCGGGCAGCGGGGGGCAGCGGGCGCCGCCGAACCGAGCCCTAGACGCCGAGGATGGTTGCGTGGTGCGTGGCGCCCCCTAGGGGCCGGGCCCGGAGCGAAGCGCGGGGGACGCAGGGCCTCCCACTGGGAGGCACCCTATCCGGACCTCGCGGGAGGGAAGGAGAGGGTGGACGGCACGTTGGCGCCCAGCGCTCCTGACTTTGCCGAGCGCTCCTAACTTTGTCGAGTGTGTCACTCTAGGGCCAGGGCGCGCTGAGGTTGGAGTCACCGGTGCTGGCTCCCGGGGTGGTGCTGGGTCTCGGGCTCACTGTCCCCTTCCGCACCCATTTCCCGCAGGTGGCTGAGGGCGGCCCGGCCCGCGAGCCGCTGCAGCTGCTGGAGGTGTCCCCCCGCAAGAGGTTGCCCGCTGGGCCCGAGCAGGACCCATGTGGCAGCCGCCCTGCACCCGAGGGCGCCGGGGCCGGCGCAGAGCAGGGCCACTTGGCCGGCGGAGGCAGCTGGTGCCGCCACTGCCACACGAAGCTCGCCGAGCTCAAGCGACAGGCGTGGAAGCTGGTCAGCGGGCCCGGGACACCCCTCCGGGTAAGTGACCCTTTCTTAGGCCTGCGCCTCCGGGCAGGGCCCATTCTGGAACTTGAGAGACCTTGGGTCCTGGAGTGGTTTTGGCCAGTCCCTTCTGTCTGGGTTTCAGTTTCTCTGTTTGTAACAGAATGTATGATTTGGAACATTTCATCCTAATAAGGTCCTGCGGTGGGATTGGAGGGGTGTGGGCAGGCGTTGCTCCCCAGAGCTGCAGGTGCCCCACAGTTGGAACCACAGTCTGTGTTTGGGGGGGAGGGGAGAGGGCAATATGTGGCAAGGACTACACCCAGGGTGGGACAGGTCCTGCTCTGCCAGCAGCAAGAGGTTATTTGTTGCGTTGTTACCCTTGGGGCACCTGGGCCCCCAGCCAAGTGTCTGGAAATTGCACACCTGGGGCAGGAAGGCTTGGAGGACCAGAGGGTGGGTCTGCTGCTGTGAGGGTGTGGCTGCCTGCCCCCTCCTAGCATCATGGATAAGAATTGTGTGTGGGACACAGCCTGGGGCTCTGCCACCTTAGTCAGTGGCCACCTATCTGGGAATTGAGTCGCTGGGCCCCTGGGTTCCCTAGGCTCCAGTCCCAGCTGCCAAGGTGTTTGCCAGGGGAGGGGGCTCCCCGAATTCTCCGCCAATGGGCTTGCTCCTGTCTTGGAAGGAGCAGGGCCATTGTTCAAGGAACAATGTGCCCTGGAAGTTTGCAAAGCCTGGGGAGGTGGGGTCTCCAGAGGAAACCCTTCCCGACTGACCTTCAGTCTTTTTGAAAGCTTTCCTGGGAAGTCCGCATAATCCCCATTGAATCTAAATATAGTTCTCCAAGGTCATGTGGTCTGGTCTGGAGGTGGGGGCGGTGGAGGTGGGGGCGATGGAGGTGAGGTCCAGATGCTGGGCTCCTGGGGCCCCATGTGCTTCCTGTAGGGCAGGCAGGGGTGGCTTGAGTCTGGTTTGTCCGAGCACTCTCTGTGGCAAAGGGAGGGGACTTGTGGCCTGTTCTGGGGTGGGGCTGGACACCCCCATCTGCTGCTCCGAGCAGGGTGCAGCCTTGCCAAGCTCTGTGCTCCAGATGGCCTGAATCTCGTGAAAAAGACACCAGAGGACCTTCAGAGCCTCAAGGGTATGGTTTGGGTCAGACGTCTAAGGGCCTATCATAGCTACAGGGCCATCTTGCTACCCCATTAGGGGAAACTGAGGCCAGGAAAAGGAGGGGCTTCAGTGACTGAGCTGGATTTTGCCTGGTAGCTATTGGTGTATGGCCAGCTGGCCACAGGTGGGCAGGGGACCCTGCCAGAGAGAGCTTCAGGGCACACCATTGGCTGGTGGATTGGGGTCACTCTCGGCGGGTGGGGGGGCTCAGCGGTCTCTTCCTGTAGATGGCTCATTAGGGAAGCTCCCTCCTCACCAGCCAGAGCACTCACCTCCCCGCTCCTCAGCTTCCCCTGAGTTTGGCATTTGACAACAGGCACATCTCAGTGCCCAGTGGGGGCTCACACACCCCCCCCCGCCCCGCACCCAGTGGTTAGGTCACCCCACAGACCCAGGGTCCCCGGCTTTGTTCCTGCTCTGCGGCCCCCTCCCCAGCGGTGTTTCCTCCTTTGTCAGATGGGGGCAGCCTCCAGGGGCTGGTGTGGGAGTGCTGACCAGCCTGGAGGCCACTGTGCCCGAGGGCGGCGAGTCCATTCTCCACTCTGTGCCCAGCGATGATGGAAGCGGGGCCCAGGGGGGCTTCAGGCTCTTGGGTGAGCCACCCTGGCCACAGGACATGGGGGGTTGGGCCTACATCCTCAGGACCTTGGTGGGTGTCACTGTCCCTGGTGACCCAGGCTCTTCCCAGCATCCTGGCTGGTGCGCAGCCGGCAGCTCTGCCCGGACCGCCGTGGAGTTTCCTTCAGGGCAGGCCCAGGAGGCGGTGTCCTGGACGTGGTCACACAGCTGCTTCTGCTTTTGGTTTGGGAAGGAGAGCTCTGTGGGGCTGCCAGGGGTGGGGGGACCGTGTGAGGCCTCCTTGGAGTCTTGGCCCCGCGCTGAGGAGGACAAGGCCCTGGCAAGAAGAGCTGGCGTTCAGGGAGTTTTCCCTGGGGGTCTTTTCTTATTTTCCATCGTGAGATGAGTTGCCTGAGGATGGTACTTCACAGTTTACAGAGAATGTTGCCTGCGTTTTCTCACTTAGTGTCACGCTGGCATCTAGAAAGACCCAGACCTGGGCTTGCCGGGCTCCCACTGCTTGGGCTGGGGGGTGGGGGGCGCGCAGTGGAGCTGGGCCTTCTGCCAGCTGCCCAGGCCAGACATTAGAGGCTCTGGCTTGGAGGGTCCCTGCCTGGTCTCAGGTATAGAGGGAGCTGCAGAGGAACAGTTGACCCCTCAGCCAACCCTGGGGGTCCCTGCCAGGGCTCGACCCCACCTTTCCACCAGCAGACTGGTCCCCAGTGTGTGACTTTGAGTGGGTCTGTTGAGAGCTTGGGCCTCAGTTTCCTTCTCTGTACCCAGAACTGTTTCTGTACCCATTTCACAGGTGCACTGAGCAGTGTCCGACACAGGGTGGCTCCTATACCTTAGCCGTTGTCGCTTTTGCTGGGGTGGGGCTTGTGGGTCACACCGTGCTGGGTCTTTGGTGCCTGGGGCCTGCTGCTCCCTTGCTGCCGTGTGCTGTCTTCTCTTGGTGCTTGCCTCGGTTTCCCCATCTGACGATGGTCCCCACTCAGGGACTCTATCCATGTGGAGCAGCTAGGGCTGTGCCCTGTCCCCTTTCTGAGCCCTGAAGCCCCTGGGGGGGGGTGGGAGAGGGCACATGCTCTACCCACCCAGGTTGCAGCCTGGGGCACTATCCTTCCTGAACCAAGCAGGGCAGTGGGCCTGGGCGTAGAGGGGACACCCAGGCCAGGGCGGAGGCCCCCGAAAGGTGCAGCCCCTAGGCACAGGGGCCGCTGCTGCCTCCAGGCCCCGTTCTCTCACTTTATCCCCAGGTGGTTTGTCACCTTTTTTGCAGATCCCCAGTCCTCCCTCCCTCCCATGCTCCTTTGGCAGAACTGCAGCCCCATGTACTGGCACCTGTGCAGCTGGCCGTGGCAGGGCGACTCAGGCCATGCTAACTTGCCTCACTTTGAGTTCTCAGCACAGAACTCTGGCGGCCCCTCCACGTGCCCAGCCTCCCTCGCATCACAGCCCACTGCTCTCCTGGAGGCCACTCCTGCCAGCCCCGGGCCCTGCCCTTCCTCCGTCCTCTGCGTACCCCTGGGCCACTGTGGACTCTGGGTCCAGCGTGCCACCTCCAGGTCGGGAGCTCTGCTAGGGCAGGTGTGGGATCCAGGTCACCCAGCAACATTTGTTGACCAACTGAGTGACCAGGGCTTTCCTCCCACACCCACTGTGTTCACTCCAGGACTTCCTGGCTGGCTCCCAGCTCGCTCCGCCATCCCCACGGAGATGACAGCCCACGGAGGGTGGTCCCTGCCTCCTGGTGGCGGTGGGGGCGGGACCCTGCTGGGGACCTGGTCCAGCTGCCACTCAGTGGAGATGACTCTGGACACTCAGGACGTGTGTGTCGAATGCAGACATTCGAGGTGTCAGTGCCAGCGCTGAATTGATCAGAGCCCCCATGGGAGAAGTGACGCGCTCTCATTTAGCTCTGGCACATCTCTCGCTCGCCCAGGCGGGGGTCTCACTCTCCCTGCCCCCTGTGAGTCCAGAATCCCTGCTGGTGGCCCTGCCCAGCCATGTGGCCCAAGCATTCCTTCACATTTTCCACCGAGCTGGGCTGCTGGGAGTCGTGGGTCCTGCCCAGTGCACAGCTCGGGGTGACATGACCGGGCTCCCAGGGCTGGAGGCCTGGAGACCCTCCTGCCTCTCTCTGGAGCCTGGCTTGGGGCTGGCGGTCCTGCCAGCTTTCCCTTCTCAGTCACTTCCCGGCCCCCTGCGTGGTGGGAGCGTGCTGCCTCCACAGCCACCAGCTCGATCGTGCTGGGGTGTTGGGTCTGTGGTCCCACTGGCTGTGGCCCTGGTGGGACCGGCTGAGCCCAGCAGGTGTCGGCCGCCTGCTGCCTGGGGTCAGAGTCCCCAGCTCCCACCCCCCCATGCTGTTTGGAGTCTGGCTCGGCTCTACCTGCTTCTGGGAACACCCCACTGCCAGGGCCATGGTGTCTGCCTTGAGTCTCCACAGGGCGGGGCCCATGGCCGTCAGCAGTGTCCCCCTCTGAGCCAAGTGTTGGCAGGCTGCAAAGGCAGCCAGGGAGGTGTGAGAGGGGCGGGCACTCCCTGGGGCTGGCTGCCAGGCAGTCTCCCAGCTGGCAGGGGACCGGGTGACTCAGCTGGGAAGGGATCAGTTAGTTGTGGGCTCTGCAGGACTGAGCTTGGTGGGGGCAGGAGGCCAGTCAGGCCTAGCCCGCCCCTCCCCACCCTGGGCTGGCTCCCTCCCCATAGATGGACAGTGGTCTAGTCAGTGTCACCTGCTGGCCCTGGGGACTTCCGCTAGTCCAGTCCTAGAGCGACAGGTTCCTTGCGCCCGTCTTACCTCCTTGCTGGCCCGAGGTTTCAGGGAGCGAGGGCCGGCAGGGATGGGGCCGGCGGGCTGCTGCGTGGTGCAGCTGGGAGGGAGCTTTGTCTCTTACACGGGGAGTCCGGCTGCCATCAGGTGGGGCTGAGCAGGGACCTGAGCTGTGACCGGCCTTGCTGCCCCTCTGCTGAGGGGGCGTCAGGGAAGGAGGGAGGCTGCCCAGAGCCTGGCTGGGGGCTTGTGACGGTTTGGAATGGGTGACGGGACTGGACCTGGGGCCTTCTCAAGACTCCGCTGGGTGTCCCGAAAGGATCTCCTATTGGAGAATCAGAAGAGCTGGGTCTTACCTAAAACAGCGAGGGAAGTTTCGTGCATTTTCCTTTGCCGGCCAGGAAGCTCGTGGCTCTTCACCTCCTGCCCATCTCGTGGGTCCTTTTGGGCCCTTTTTCTTGTGATCATTCCTGCTGGTTCTGATGTGACTGTTTCTAGTTGTGTGGCTTTGCCTTTAATGTGCGCTGCG